CAGGGACAAATGCCTGGAATGCAGATTGCTTGCAGGACTGGATGATGCACCTGAACCTTCCGCGTGCACTGAGATGCTGAAACCTCATGCATGGGGTAAAACTTCCAGTGTGCTGGAGGCCAAAGGCTTCCTTTTTTTTTTTTTTTTTTTTAATTAATCTCAGGTAAAGGTCCCATGTTGCCTATTCCTCATTATTTATTGGCCCTCTTTAACCCCACATCAAATTGTGTGACTTGACTGGTGATAATGTGTTAAGTAACAACTAATGTCATCAGTGTATGTTAAATTTAGCTACTGTCTGCCCTCAAGGAAGGGTAGTCTTATAGGGGCACTCTGATGGGCACATTGAATGTTAAGGGGCACTCTGATGAGCACAACCTAGAATGTGTCCATCAGAGTGCCCTTTAAAATATGTGCCGATCAGAGTGCCCCTTAATATAAATGTGCCCGTCAAAGTGCCCCCTAATATAAAATGTGTCCATTAGCATGCCCCTTATTTTATGTTAAGGGGCACTCTGATGGGCACATTTTATGTTAAGGGACACTGACGGGCCCATTTAATGTTAAGGTGCACAACATAGAATGCGCCCATCAGAGTGTCCCTAAACATAAAGTGTATCCATCAGGGTGCCCCTTAATATAAATGTGCCCGTCAGAGTTCCCCTTATTTTATGTTAAGGGGCATTCTGATGTGCACATTTTATGTTAAAGCGGAGCTCCGCTCAGACGGGGAAGTTCCGCTTTAAGGACTGCTCCCTCACTCCCCATTAACGATTGGCACCTGTGGGGGGGGGGGGGAGCGGGTACCTGAATTTGACGGGTGCCGCTCCCACTTCCGGTCCGATCACCTAGGCGATTGGAAGCTGAAGGTGACCTCCTTCCCTGTAGTCTTTTGGGACACGTGACAGGTCCCAGGAGACTACAGGACCATTCATGAAGCGCAGCTCTACTTGCATGCGCAGTGGGTACCCGGCTGTGAAGCCGCAAGCTGTCATAGCCGGGTGCCCACACTGTGAAGATGCCGGCACCTGGAATACAGGACGGCCGGTGAAACGGGCTGCGGGGGACACACCGCGGGACCGAGGGACAGGTAAGTGGCTGTTTTTTAAAAGTACACAGCTACAGTTTTTGTAGCTGCTGACTTTTATTTTTTGACAGGGTGAATGGAACTCTGCTTTAAGGGGCACTCTGATGGGCACATTTTATGTTAAAGGGCACACTGATGAGCACATTTAATGTTAAGGGGGGCACAAATGGGCGCATACTGTGGAAAGGTGCACTCTGATGGGGAATATGATGTAAAGGGGCACTCTTATGAGGAAATATGATCGAAAGGGGTACTTTGAGTGTAAGGGGCACTCTGGCAGGAATACCTGATGTAAGGTGGCAATGTGATGGGGATACCTGATGTAAAGGGGCATTCTGATGGGGACAACTGATGTAAAGGAGCACTCTGATGGGCACACCTGATGTGATGGGATTACATGATGTAAAGTTGCACTCTGATGGCGACACCTAGTGTAAGGGGGCGCACTGATGGGCACACCCTATTTGGACCTTGGCCAGAAGAAAATTTTAGTGATTGGACCTCCTTGAATGTTGATTCAATACCCCTGCCTTAGACAAATAAACCCCAGATCCAGACCATTGGTGCAGATTAATGTAAACATACCACAACCATACCAAAATACACTAGATCTAGGACTTGCTGCTAGAAACTACATCACATAAAAAATGTGAATATTGTGCTGTGTAATTCAGCAGAACAAACTTCTTAAGCTACATTTACACTGGCGATTTATGCCGGCGCGAATTGGAGCAGCAGGAATGTTCTGATTCCTGCTCCGGCTCTGAGTAGCTAAGATGGCTGCTGACCTGTTCACTATAATGACAGGTTGTTGGCAGCCGCAGATATTCATGACTATCCACACAGCCAGCGATTGCCTGCAGTGATTGCTGCTGGATGCAATTAGTGCAGAGAACCGCGAAGAGCTGTAGCTGCCAGCAGCCTGTCATTACAGTGAACAGAGCCGGTGGCCGCTCCTACCATCTCAGATCCTGCAGCAGGAATCGGGAGATTTCTGCTGCTACAGTACTCACTGGCCTAAATTGTCAGTGTGAATGTAGCCTTACCTTACAGCGATCTATGTTAGTTTACCAAACATTGGTTTTTTTTTTTTTTGGTTTTTTTTTAAGGCTGCTTCCACACTTTAGAGTTTCAAGAACATAAGTAAAATTGCGCATTTTCGTGCTCATTTACGAAATGCACAAACTGCCTGTCGCACATGCAACGCAGGAAAAAAGATGCATGGAAAAAATGCAGGTCAAATATAAAATGTGCGGTTAAAAAATGCACACTCAAAATGGTACACGAGCTAAAATCCCAAATTTGTTGCGCATAAGTAAGCCCATTGAAATCAATGGGCTGCCTTATGTGTATGGTGCAAAACTGTATTGCCATTTTGTGCAGGTTTACAAAATGCAAAATGTGAATTTGTTTCAGAACCGATTAGGGATTTTTTTTCTCTTGTAAAAATTTGATTTTAGTTACTGGGTGAATTGTTTGCTGACAAAAAAAAATGTGTTTCACACTGTAATAAGTCAGATTTTAGCTAATTCAGGCATTTTTCTAGAGCAAGTTTAAATGAAGCAATCTGACTGGTTAATATTGGCAACATAGCACTTTGTGGGGATTTGTAACCTATTCTACAATTTTACCAATGTGTCACATTTCACCCAGTTGATCTTTCAATCCTTTAGAACACGTGTCAAACACAAGGCCTGTGGGCTGAATCCAAACTGGAGAGGGGGTGGGTGCAAATGGCTTTGGCTCTTAGCCATGCTACCAGAGCTGGAGCCAGCTGTCAATCATTATTGACATTATTGTCAGGATCCTTCTGGATCCTGGGTGGCTCTTCCACGTTAGCTGACAGTGGGCAATAGCCCACTATAAGCTGACTCTGGGCCACCTTACAGGAGAGCTAAATTTAAACAAGTATTAAACCCAAGAGCAAACATTTGTTATATTGCAACTTACCAATTCTTAGATATGATGCCTGCATTAGGTTTCTTTTTTAGGGTTTCTTTCCTATATTTTCACCTGGTTATCCAGCCAATAACTCTCTTGTTTTTCAACAGAACAAGTTCCCCTGCAAATGAGCAGTTAGAATGTTGAGACAAACTATTTACCACTGACAGAGGGGCTTAAAATGATCAGATGTTTGTTCTTGTAAAACTTTTATCCCAAAAGAAAAGCAAACTGTTTCTGTAACTGCAGTGTGAACTGGAATTTGGCTTCAATTTATAAATGTATCTAAATCTGCTAATACATCTAATACCCCCTTCCCCACAGACTGACAATACTTCTGTCCAAAGATGCCCCCTCTGGTCATTCATCCAGGGTGGAGGCACTCTCATACATGAGGTGTTTTACTGGCCAGACCACCAGGTGAAAACAGAGGGGAAAAAGTTTAAAAAAAGAAACCTAATGCAGCTCCCACATCTAATAATTAGTAAGCTGCAATGGGTTATATCTTTGGTCTGGGGTTTAGTTTAATACCACTTTAGGCTATGTTCACACTTCTGCACTAATTGCGTTTGAGCTGTTTCTGCATTGCATTTTGCGTTACATTTTTTCGTTTTTGCAGCATTTTTTTTTTTTGGTTTTTTCTTGTTGCTAGGCAGATTTAAAACACAAAATACATCAATAACAGGGCAAAACACATCAAAAACTCAATACATGCTTTTCTGCAGCATTTCCATTGAAGTCTATAGAACCAAAAAGGCAACTTTTTGCATTAAAAAGTTCCTGACCCTTTCCAAAAAACGCTCAGATATGATCATGTCCCATAGGAAATCATGTTAAATGTACTGTACTACTTTTCTGCAAAATGCTGCAGAAAACACTTAGGTATAAACCCAGGGTGAATGTATTCCTGTGACCCACAAGAGAAGTCTCACATTTGTGTACCTTGCACAGTTATTGTGACAATTTCTAAGAGTATCATTACCTTAGGGAAGGTACAGTCCTGGGTGGGGCGAGTTTTAAACATATTTCCTGCGTATATTTCCCAGGTGTGGTTCTGGCTTTTTAAAGCTCCGAAACCGTAAGAACAAACAATAAAAGGTCATACTAAAAACCTTGCTTTTGCAAATTCTTGAGCTCTTATACCAGAGCATATGTAGCATTTTCCTGCTTTTTGAACTTGGGACATTCAATCATTTTAGCTAAGTTGCACATCACAAAGTGGGACTCCACCCAAACTAATATTTTTATGAGAGCGTGCGGAATGGTTACAACTTTTCTTTTTTTGCTGTCATGGTCCCTCATTTCAGAGATTGCTGAGATTTTGTTGCGGACACTTTGTTCTTTGCTCCTAATGCTGCTTAGTCAAATCAATAGGGAGCTGAGGTACATTGATGCAGACTAGCCATGTCTGCAGTTGTGTGCTCTGGCAGCCATGTTGGCTGAGAGCAAGTACAGATTTAGATCAGGTCATTCCAATTCACATTCTCCGATTTGTATGTCACAGTTGCTTTTTTACTTTTATCTGGGACTCAAAGAGATTTCCCCCTACTAAAGCAGACCATGGATGGATAAAAATTGTGCTGGTTAAGCAGGGACCAGCTGCATTTTGATCCCTGTGTGGCCATTCCTATTTGATAGAAGTTCATTGTTAGATTCCTCCATCCACCTCGCCCGTGTGGATGGAGGAATTTGTTCACTTTTTTTTTTCTAGCCATTAAATTGTTACTAAACCCACAACAGTAAAATCTGTCTGTATATGCAGTAAAGCATGCTTGATATACTCACTGTGGAACCTAAGGGGTTTACCCTCTGCATTGTGTAAAAATACTGTTTGATCCTGACTTCTCTGATTCTCCCCTTCTGAGCACATGCTCAGTTTGGTGTGTATTGCTAGAGAGTTGTTGGTTTTTTTTTTTTTCTTGGGAGGGTGCATGTGATCAGCACAGGGCCAATCTGCTGAACACTCATATACGTCACAAGACTGCCTTAACTGCTGATGAGAAAAGGTATTTAGCAGTTTATATTTACTAAAATAATTGCATTTCCATGTTTGTGTGTACTGTGGGAGACCAGATAGAGTGAATGCAGGGTCCTGGGTTTAATAACACTTTAAATGAAGATAAAGGACCATTTATAGCCAGCTTTACTGTCCAGGTAATAACAGTTTCTTCAGACAGGAACTGAGGGAAAATCTGCACCAGAGACATAGACAGCAATACAATTCTGACAGAGGTTCTAGCCCTCCACTACCCTACTAACAAATTGAAAAGCATTTGTATATCTGTCTGGGTTGCTCTTGGAGATTTTCTCTTGTTTCCTATGTGGTTGGCACTGTTACAGTCTGTGAGGGGAAATTTTTCTAGTGAATACTCAGATAACAATAAAAGCCCAGCATAGGTTCTAGTTCTTCTGTACTCTGTCCAAATCTAAATGAAAAGAAAAAGCTGGGATTACACTTTGGATACCATTCATTCTTGTGTTAATGTATTGTCAAAAACAAAACAGTTCTCTTCCCTGTCAGCTCATGCACACTGCTTTGCATGGCTGTGCACAGTACAGCCATGAAAAGCAGTTTGATTACAGTGAAGCAGAAACACACGGCCCCATAGTAAAACACACCCAGCACACAGTTAACCCTTTGATCGCCCCTGATATTAACCCCATCCTGCCCAGTGCCATTAGTACAGTGTCAATGCTTTTTTTTTTTTTAGCACTGATCACTGTATTGGTGTCACTGGGGATGTCAGTGACGCCAAGTCATTTCCCCCCAGTGTCAGAATGCCTGCCGCAGTCCTGCTATAAGTCGCTGATCGCCGCCATTACTAGTGAAAAAAAAATTCCAGTATCTATACCTCCATTTGTAAATGCTATAACTTTCATGTAAACCAATTCATTTACACCTATTGGGATTTTTTTTTTGTAGCAAAGACATGTAGCAGAATACATTTTGGCCTAAAAATGATGAAATTTGATTTTTTTAATTGTTTTTTGCTGGACATGTTTAATAGCAAAAAGTAAAAAATATTGTTTTTTTTTCTCAAAATTGTGAGCAAAAAATAAAAAGTAAATAAAAAATCAAATACCACCGAAGGAAATCTCAATTCGTGGGAAAAAGGACATGAATTTATTTTGGGTGCAGTGTTACATGACTGCGCAATTGTCAAAGTACGCAGCGCCGTAATGCAAAACATGACCTGGTCAGGAAAGAGGGTGAATCCTCAGAAGGGCAAGTGGTTAAAACTAAATCAGTTCAGTTGGGCCTAAGGGCTGTTATGAGCTGTGGCAATGTGAGCATTAACCCAATGTGTGTCATACGATACATGCATTGTGGTGCCATTCATTTTGAAGAGCAATCCAACATAGTAAGGCAATGCATATGTTTTACTTCATTCTGCAGTTTTGTGATGTCCAGTTTTTGAAATTGTTTGGTGCTTCAAAAAACCATTAATTTCAATAGAGTTTTCAGCGCTAGTATAACTCTTAAATTATGATATTTGATTGTAAAATGATCAATATTAGGATTTTGGCTGAACTTAAAGTTGGTTGTAGGGGTTATGATGAGGTTTAGAGGCTGAGCACAAGTTACCGGCTAGTTTGATAACTGTGGGGTTTAGTGACTAAATTCAGGGTCAGTACTTGGTGGTAAAGATTATATTATAGTGTATGTAGTAAAGCAGAGGTGGCCCTGGAACCCTCTTGTGGCCCTCAACCTCATACCAGGGAAGGGCATGCCTGGGGTCAGAAACCTGTTGATTGTGATCTGGGCTTGCCGACCTGCCATCCCAGAGTATCAGAGTGCATCCAGATGGCACCGACAGTGGAGGCAGCAAGAGTTGCATAAGCTGATGCTTCCTCTGTAGCGTCAGCACCTGTCCCAGGCGGAGTGATACCAAGTGCACTTCACCTGGGACCTTTTAGCAGCCCGGAGACAGAGAGCGATGCCAGTAGAATCTAAAGGGAAAAAGGTCAGTGAATTAAACAAGACATACACTGCATATATTGGCACCTATAAAAGGGTTGACCGCTATTGGGCTGCTTTCACACTGATCCGTGGGTGCAGCACAGTGCACATGCGGCTTTCCTGAGGGTTGGCTGCACTGAGCCATAGACTTCTATCCATGAATGCAAGACTTTAGGTACACTTTCAGAAAATGCACCACACCCCCAAGTTATACTAGAAGTCTATGGCAAAGTGCAGCTAACCCACAGGTGTTAAACCATAGTGCATCAGTGTGAAAGCAGCCTAATAGAGGGCTCAGGACAGTATGGACTTGTTTACATTTGCAGTTTGAGGGACAGTAAAACCCGATAGTTGAGACATGTTTTTACCACATCCCCCAGCCACTGGTGTAGCGTCAAGGGTCGCAGTGGCAATCCTGCACCATGCTCCAAGGGGCTGTGTGACCTCCCTGTCACATTCTGTTTTACACTTGGATAGGAGAGGCGGCATATACAGGAACCGATCCTCTCCATTTCCTCCTGCATTCGCAGATGCAGGAGGAGAATGTTCATTATGCTGTTCAAGATAAAAAAAAAAGTTACATTCTAGACCATTTCATTTCATTGTGGCCTGTGACTGGTTACCAAATCGCTTAAGTGGCCCTCCCTCTTCAAAAGGTTGAGCACTCCTGTAGTAAAATATCATGAAAAATGTTTTGACTGTTGCCCCTACACACGAAACAGCCATGCCAGTTTTCAGAAACTGGAAAATTTGCCATAGGTGAAACCTGGTGTTATAACAGGACCATTGAGATTTGATCACATTGGAGAAAGCTATGGTGTCTTAGGGTTTAGCATAGGCTGTCTACAAACTTTAGATACATGTGTGAGCACGATTCAGCTACTGAACGATCTCTTATGTCTTCAGGCACCTATAGTTCACTGAGGGACTGTAAACAATGGCAACACTATTGCAAAGAGGACAGTGCAGTAACACCAGATTTTATCTTTTCCAGAAGAAGATAAACAGAAAACCATTAAATGAGAACCTGTGTTGTGTTTCAAACCATATGCTGAAAAGGAGAACAAGAACATGCGCTCCAGTGTGGTAGTGATGTTGGGACTTGTAGTGCTGACACCCGTAATGACAGTTTTCAACTTTCCTTAGAGTAATTAGTTATTATCAATCAGAAAATGTTTGTATAGCTGCAATATATACAACCACAATTTTATACACAGCTCAACCAATTAATGTTTCCTATACTTGACCTTATCACACTGCTGGTAAACGTTGACCAGTGCATTGAAAGCTAATTATAACTGATACATGGGAGTAAGTGCAGTCACACTAGAGCATTTCCTGCCAGTGACTTTATGTCGGAAGTACAATCAAGTTTTCCTCCAAGACCATGCAATCAAAGGGTTTCCCGATGATATCCACACTGATATACTGTAGTGATTGTCAGCTTTGTGTGGATTCGTTTTTACAAGTGATTTTGTTCTGGTGTGATATTGCTCTTTTTATATTGTCTACACTCTTATGAGTTGTTACCTGTATTCAGACATAAGGAACCCACACACTAGATGAAAAATCATTCTAAAATCTGACAATTGGACAGTTCATTTTTGGTCTAGTTAATGGGCACAAATCGAAAATCGGTAGTGATGTTTTTGAGCCAAAAAATTTAAGGAAAAGGAAACTTCTGCCGAACAGATGATAAATTGAATGGCTAATGTGTTTCTCGCCCATTAAAAATTGAATTGTTGGTACTGCGCATATGTGACTCACACGCAAAAAAGGCACAGAAAACGGATTCATCTTATGCACTTGAAATGATTTATTGTTTGAAATTCAGGCATTACATGGTGGCAATATTGTTTGCTCTCACAACCATGTGTTCGTTTTCAAAATAGCACTCAACTGATTTTTTTGAGTAGTGTATGGGTAGCACAAAGTGTGTTGTCTGGATTTCATTCACACTTATTTGAAACGATAAACTACAGTTTACCTCCCAGCATGCAGGAGGGGAGTAAAAACCTCTCCAACTTGAGGGGATATCCCCTTTTAGAAAGCTGGCACTGGAACAGATGTCTCACGTGGAATATTTTTCTCTCATCTCCTCATCTGGTGTAAACCATGACATTTTGGATTTCCCATTAATTTGGTGACATAGCAGCCTTTGTTTTTTTTTTTTTCACCTGGGTATTACTCAGGCCAGTCAAGGTAGAACATTCTGTGAACTGGGTTCCAGTTTTTAAAATGTTTATCTTTTACATTCTTTTGTTTTCTGTACCTTTTTTCTCTACTTATGCTTCGTTTTTTTTTTTTTTTTTAAGTGGGTCTAGCTGAAATGTCCGTTTTGGCAAAAAATAATTTAAGGGGGCTGTAAGAAGGGCAAATGTGGAAGCACGGATTTATAAAGGAGCTGGTATGCGAGTGATCTTTAGCTCTCTCATATAATGTGTCTCTCATCTATAACTGTCTAGGTCTAGAACATGGTTTGCCGTCTGGCTCTGAGTCTGTCATTCAGATTTTCATTATGTACACAACCAAGCAGCTAGCATTGCTCCCAACTGTTCCTTGTTTTAAGGCACTGCCCCTCTTTTGAGTCCCCCTGTCCCTCTTTCCTCCTCAGTTGTCCCTGATCTGATTTATAGACCTCTATTATAACAATTGGTTATTTAAAGTGTTACTAAACCCACAACAGTAAAATCAATCTGTATATGCAGTAAAGCATGCTTGTTTTACTCGCTGTGGAACCTAAGGGGTTAATACTCTGCATTGTGTAAAAAGGCTGTTTGATCCTGACTTTTCTGATCCTCCCCTTCTTCTGGTGCCCCCCTCTTATCTCCTGATAAGACATATCATGTGGAGTCACACTGCACATGCTCATTTTGGTGTGTATTGCTAGAGGGGTTTTTTTCCTTGGGAGAATGCATGTAATCAGCACAGGGCCAATCAGTGCTGTCCACACAGAGGTCAGGGATTCTGAATCCTCCTAGAGCAGAAAGAAAACTCCCCCCTACAAGCTTTAACCAGTGCTCTCCTGAACACTGATAGAAAGCCACAAGACTGCTCTAACTGCTGATTATAAAAGGTATTTAGCAGTTTATATTTACTAAAATAATTACATTTCTGTGTACTGTGGGAGACCAGATAGAGTGAATGCAGGGTCCTGGGTTTAGCAACACTTTAAGGAGTTAGTCCTCTGCATTGTGTAAAATGGATGTTTGATCCTGTCTTCTCTGATCCTCCCCTTCTTCCATGTTCCCCTTTTCATCTCCTGATAGAGCACATGCTCAGTTTTGGTGTGTACTGCTAGAGAGGTTTTTTTCTTTTTTTTGGGAGGATGCATGTGATCAGCACTGTCAAGACAGAGGGTCAGGGGTTATGCAATCTCATAGGGCAGTGAGAAGAGAATGAAAGCCCCCTCCTACAAGCTTTAACCAGTGCTCAGCTGGACACTGATAGAAGTCACAAGACTGCTCTAACTGCTGATGAAAACAGATAATTAGCAGTTTATGTTTACTACAATAATTGCATTTCCATATTCTGTGTACTGTGGGAGACCATGTATAGTGAATGCAGGGTCCTGGATTTGTTAACACTTTATATGTCCTTTATCTACATACTTACATGTCAGAAATTTGGGAAGAAGTTCATCAATTTTAGCGCACACATTGTTCGTGTCTGGTGTTCTTTTTAACTCTGTATCTTTACAAAAATCATCTTGTGTAAACGAGCCCTCTCCTTCAGAAATTAGAAAGAGCGGTGACTGTGCATGATATTCCAGCTGCCATTAAAGGAAATATAAAAAGTGTCAAAGGTACCGATTTTACCCTTCTGATTATTTCAGTAAAAGTAATTCCTGCCTTGCCTCTATGCACTCCACAACACTGTAATCTTGCTCAATATGTAATTGATTTTTTTCTGTAAGCCTTTCCTGTGGTGATAGGCCTGCCTAATCACGGTCTTTCATTGCTTGTGTTTTGTAGAGATGACAGCTGACGTTAGTGTAGAAAACACACAGCAGAAAGTTGTTCATTTTGGCATGGGTGTGTCTCCAGTCCTTGCACCTCCTCTCATGCAATCCAAACGGCATGAGTCAGTCAGCTATTGTGTCAGTTGTTAAGCAACCATGTAATATTTTGTATCAAGATATATCACACTGAAATAGAAAATAATAAGCTCAGCAATAGGTATGTCTTGTGTTTCTGTTCTTCTCACATGTCATTATGTGTCCTTCTGCTGCACCCCTCTCTAGTAATTTGCATAGTAATTTCCATACAATATACATAGATAATCTAGTATAATCCATAACAGACAAACAATGCATTAAAGAACCTTAAAAATAAACGTATGTATGTAACACTTTAATACATTTTTTAGGTGAAATGTATGTTTATTTTCTGAAGTTGTATGTAGCAATTGTTTCAAACACCCAGCTGACATCCTGTCCATTAAAGTGTTTGTGAACTCAAAACACTACATTTTAATATGTTGCTGTGCCTGCACACTGTAATGTCAGGAACACTATCATTTTTAGTTGTGTTTTTTTTTTTTTTTGCGCTGTAGTCAAATAAATTACCTTATTCAGTCCTGCCACTTCCTTTTCCAAAGTGAGAACTCTGGGACAGGTGAAACGTGGCTATAAGTGACACTTTCCTGAAGCACATTGCAGCGCAACTGACCATTCAGCATTGCACTGATGCACATTGTGGTGCAGCGTCCTGCCAGATATGATGCTCATGTGTTAGGCAATCTATTCAAATGAACGGACTTCATGCATGCACTAATGCACCTAGTGGTGTGAATGGGCCTTTAATCTTGTGTAATGCCTTGTCTACATCTAATTATTATTTGAGGTATTGGGTGTACATCTGCTTATTTTCTACACAGAAAAACCACCTGCTATTTGGTTGCCTCCCTCTGCAATTTCATCATCATCATCTCCACTTGGCAGCCATTACAGTGCAAAAGGCCACACAGCAAAGTTCTGTAAATGATATGTGTTAATTTCTGTACAGGTTTGGGTTGGTTTACAAAAGTGTTTGTCAAAGTTAATAGTATCATTGGTACTTGTCTGATAATTCACCAGATTTATATATATATATATATTTTATATGTTTTATTGATAACAAATATATATATATATATATATATATATATAATAAATCCAGTGAATTAACAGACAAGTACCGTATCATTTTGTAGATCTGTATCCATAGGGCTGAAGCAGCTAGACTTTGAGGAAGGCCCCAATAGTCTTTGTGATTTGAGTATTATTGCACTGCTGATGGATGGATATATTTTTTTTATGCAAACCTGTGAAAGCAAAAAAACAAAGTGCAACTCACCTCCAGCACTGTTCACTAACCATCAGAGTACTTCTGGGTATGGGGAAGCATGTCACCTGCATCCCCACTATGAGGAGTTTCTGGCACTCAGTCAGTTGTCAACAGTACTAAGTGACCACTGTGGGGGTGTTAACAGGGACTGAAGTGCAGCTCATTGTCCATTTTTCCCTGAAATTTGTATATATTTATTTCTGGTAAAGTGCAAAAATTCCATCCTGTTTAGTCAGCCTGACTATAAAAAAAAAAAGTTGTTAGTTGGAAGCCTAACTTGACAAGCATGCCTCTAGGCAAATATGCACACTGATTCTGCAGTGAATGTACCTAAATATAGGGTGGGTATGCTGTCTGTCTGGAAATTGTGCAAGTTTAGACCATCTGCATTACTACTATTTAGGGCGGAACTCCAGGAAGCCTAAACATTCTCCTTGCAGTGGAGCTGCACCCCTACTGCAAGGTTTAAGAGAAGTATTTTTTTTTTTCCCTATGTATACTTACCTAGCTGGATGCAGCATCTGTCTCCCGCTGGCTCTAAGGCTAGGTTTGCACCTATGCAGGTTGCGTTTATGCCGCTTTTGACATGTTTTTTGCTGCCTTTTTAATGCGTTTTTTGCATTTTTTAAAAAAAAAAAATTTCTTGTTGCTAGGCAGATTTAAAATGCAAAATGCATCAAACATGCAATAAATGATTTTCTGCAGCATTGCCATTGAAATCTATAGAACCAAAAATGCAACTTTTGTGTTCAAGAAAGACCTGAACCTTTCCAAAAAATGCACCAGATGAAAACACGGAGATGCAAACATGTCCCATAGGAAATCATGTTAAATGGACTGTACTGCGTTTCTGCAAAATGCTGCAGAAAACGCTTAGGTGTGAACCTAGATTAAGGGCGTGAAGTTGCTGAGTTCTCTGCTCTGAGCAGAGAGTGGGACTATCAGACACCGCTGTCTGCTCAGCCCCCCCAGCACTCACTGGGGGGCTGGGCTGTGGAAGGGGGGAGCTGCTGGCTCAGGCTGTCAGCGCTTTGCTGAGAGACTGAGCCATGTGCCGCTCCAGGCTCTGGTGTGGATCCCGACTGGGATCTTTTCCCAGCTTGAACTGGCTGAGTGACGTCAGCCGACAGCAGACTACAGTACGCTGTCAGCTGAAAACTGGTCACAGGAGTGCAGAATGAACTGCACTCCTGTGTTCCACAGGAGAAGTACAGCCAAATGAGATTTGGCTGTACTTCTCCTTTAAATGCTCATTTATGTATAGGGGATCTGGAAAAGCAGATTAAGGCTGTATTTACACAAGAACAGGCAGCACTTTACCTCTACCTCAGCTGTCCATTCCTGACTGCGATAGGGGGCAATGTAGTGCACTATTCCGAGCATCACACAAAGCTCCCTTTTTTTTTTTTTTTTTGTACACACTTTATTTGAAGTGTACAAAAGCATGCTTCAGTTATATCGCTGTAAAGCAGCACGATATGCTGCTGTACAGTGTCATGCAATTCTGTACAGCTTGCTGCGATAAAATGCAGCATGCTGCAGTGCAGCTGCAGGGTGTATTGCAGTGTGAATAAGACACACAGAAATAATTGTTTTTTTTGCGTGTGTTCTTGCGGTGACAGGCAGTTGACAATTCAGTAAAACGCCTGTCACTTCACTGGTTTGAATTAGCCCTTACTGGATCCTCAGGTCCAGCAGGCTCCTCTGTACTGCAAGACTGGTTCCTGCAGCTTCTTCTTCCCCATGCTTAGCAGTCTAAGATCTTCAGACATCATCAAGACCAATGCAGGGCCATATATTAGATGTGAGGACTCTGTGCCGCGGCCGAGATGCTCTCAGGAGTGACGTCATCGTGACTCAGCCAATCAAGCGGCCAGAGCCCGTGAATCCGGAAGGAAGACCGGGTGAATATGAAAGCCCTGTCAGCGGCGACAGCGCACCGCTTGAGGGCTTTGTTCTAAGGTAAGTTTTTCATAATGTGTTTAGTATGTGATGCATCCTTAAAGTGATACTAAACAGAGAAGTTATAATTGCCATGATTCATTTGCATGCATCATTTAATGCATGACACTGTAACTTTTTTTTTTTTTTTTATTTTCTAAGTACCTTAGTCTTGCAGTGCTGTTGTATGGTCACATGATCTTTCCTTGTTCTTTGGCACGTGCAGGGAAAGTTCCTTGGGAGGGGCTTCTATTACTCTGCTGATGTATGCTCTCTACAGTATGAGTATGTGCCTGCACAGCCCTAATTGGTGCTTTACAGCTTCTTCTAAATCTTTGAGCATCAGATGTGTATTTTTTTCATGCATTAATATGGTGTAGGCAGAGTCAAAGATGATTGACACTAGCTATTACTTTGTTCAGATGGCATCTGCATCCAAGGCTCTTCTTTTTTACTTTACAGGTATTGGCAAAATACATTTAGATATATTTATTATGATTTATATTAAAACAAGAGTTTCTTAGTGAATGTAATCAATCAGCATGTCCTATCCCACCCCCATAGTGTTTAGTAATGCGAGAAAATGGAAGAGGCGAGAGCGAGTGGGCCGCCAGTTATCTGAAGTGTATATGCGTGCATGTGTGACTTTATAGTCATTTGGGGTGCACAGATAAGAAAAAGTAGGAAATGAACAGCTTAGAAGGGAACTGTAACTGGAGCGTGCTCAGTAAATGTGGCAATGGCTGGTCTGGCTACAGCGGGGGCACAGAAAAGGAAGGCGGGGCAGCGAACAGCAGGATCAATCAGGTGTATGTTACTCTACACAAAATGAATGCTTTAATCGCTCTGCGAGTATGTACATTTTGTTATATAGCATGGGTTTTTTTTAATATCCGGGGTTAAGGCCTGGTTCACACCTATGCATTTTTTAGTGTTTTTATGGGTTTTTCAGAAACTTCCTACAGTCCATTTAACATGGTTTCCTATGAGACACGTTCAGATCTATGCGTTTTCAGCTACTGCATTTTTGGAAAATGTCAGGGTTTTCTTTTTTTCCCACAGCAGATTGCAAGATGCATTAGTGCAGCGTTTTTCAACCACTGTGCCGCGGCACACTAGTGTGCCGTGAGATATTGTCTGGTGTGCCGTGGGAAAAATTCCAATTTCATCTGTAACATGTGGCTTCGGCTCACAAATAGACCAATCATTAGAATCTAATGATTAGTGGTCGGCAAGCCGCGGCTCGCGAGCCACATGCGGCTCTTTACCCAGTCTAATGCGGCTCTTCTGTGTGCCGGGCGCCTGCT